CTTGATCAAATCCCGGTATAAAACAGTATTAAATTACAAAACAAAAAGTCTGATCTTGATCAAATCCCGGTATAAAACAGTATTAAGTTACAAAACAAAAAGTCTGACCTTGCCTAGATCCCTCTAGAACGGGTCCTGGCGGGTCAGTCGATAATGGCCGAATGGTGGTCGTGGTTGTTGTTGCAAACACGGACGGAGGAAACGGATACAACTGTGCAAATGAGAAAAACATCATCAAATCTGAAACTTCTCGTCTTTACTTTGAAATCACTCTCCGAGTTTACTAAGCATGGGCCAGTAGGTAAAAGATACAATATGCATCTTATTACGAGATGTTGTAATACAGCTTATAGTCAAACTGGCCAATACTAGGATTACCTTATACGGATAAGAAGTATCCTACCATGACTATAGATTAATGCTTGTTGCAAAGTTCACAATGGGCTATCCGAGCTGTACCCACCACGGGTATCGAAATCCGGTTTTTAGTCTTCATACTTGCCGACGTACATAGATTAATGACCCTCTATCTAAATGTGACCAATGCATGAATTTTTCTAAAAATATATTTAAATAACAAAATTTAAAAGTATGCATACTTATAGACACACAGGTATGTATATATCTTAAAACGTATCATTCATCTCCATATATTTGAATAAAGGCGTAAAACTTGAGATAACAATCACTTAGAAAAACCTACCTAAAAATAACTATTGTGATATACAGGCGCATCAAATGTTTCCACATTTATAGCACTAATAAGAATTTTACAGCAAATATTCATTCATTAGTTAGCTAGACTATGTTTTGTGTTAAACTTGGGGCATGATGGTGGGTAAAACAAAATACGCGGCCTAGCTAACTAATGAACAAATATTTGCTGTAAAAGTCTTATCAATGCTATAAGTGTAGCTACCAGTTTGGCTGCCAATTTTGATTTCATTCCTTTAAGTCGCACATTCAATCCTTTTTGGCCGCACCTTTTTTTTTCACACCTAAGGTGTTTTTGATTAGGTATCACAACTTTTGTCAATATACACATACAAACCACAGCTAGTAAGAAAGTGACACTCGATAGTAACCAACATTATTAGCTTTAGGATCACAACCCTATTACTCGGAACAGACCTTTACTTTACAGAACCAACCAAATTCTTTAAAATATATGGTGGTAGTTATTTTCTCTCTAAAACAGTGTTAATAGCTTTCGTTAGAGTAACGCCGTGGAATTTAGATTAACAGTTTCTTGTCATCGCCCCCATGCAATCGGTACAACTGTATTAAGCATCATTATTTACGCTAATTGATTAAGTTAATATCACGTGACGCTAAACGCTCTTTAATTAGGATAATTTCATAAAATTTAGTCAACCTATGCTGAAAATTTGACAATCAATAATAACCGTCCACCCATATGATGCTTTTGAAAACTTGAGCTAGAAACTGCTAATCTAGTTTGCTTATCCTAACCAACACTTATGTACATGTCCTTTGCCTTATAGTTTTGGTGCTCTAAATGAGCAGCCTTTTATCCAAATGACATAAAACTAAAAAAGGTCCTTTTTTACTTTTAGATGAGGCTGTAGTAAAAATGTTAGACCGATGGCTCACGTGACTTTTTGCGCAAAAAGTTTCGTCAAATTTGAGCAGTTTTTGTTGGATATATTGGCTTATATTTACACCAAATGAGACTCGTAATTGTAGGCTGAAAAGTTTTATCAGTGTACCAATTTTGAAAAAATCCATAAAAGTTGAGTATGTTTTTCTATCAAACAATGTGCCCCTACTTTTGGTGCGAAGAGAAAAAAAAAAGGAAGAAACTCAATCAAAATTGTAAATGTTATATCTCAGATATTTCTTAATGGAGTGCTTTGAAATTTGGTGTGTGAAGTAAGAGTCAAGTAGAGAACTTTCACTGAAAATATGTGTTAGTTTTGATTACCACAGTCCGAGATACAGAAGGTGGAATGATCGCAAACTATCACTCCTGTTAATAACACACAGTGTGTCCTGCAACAGGTTGTTTTGGCCGCACGACACAAGTACTACCCAAGAGGATATTGCAGTATTTTATAACATTCTGATTGAAAGGATTAACGACTGTAACACCTTTTCCTGGCTGAACTGACAGTGTCTAAATGCTACAGTCAACTAATGTTGTGAAAGAACAAAAGGTCACGAGGTCACGCTGTCAAATGGAAAAAATAAAAGGAGTTTACCTGTTGAATTCGGGCGCATTTTCTGAGTAATCTTCCATCGTTAGATTAGCTGATTTTGAATGTTTGCAGAAGTTAGATACTGAATTTACTCATCCTGCAGGGGCAATGCCAGATTGGGGTTCAGGTGGACCATTTACTCGTCCTGCAGGGGCATCGCCAGATTAGGGTTCAGGTGGACCATTTACTCGTCCTGCAGGGGCATCGCCAGATTAGGGTTCAGGTGGACCATTTACTCCTCCTGCAGGAGCATCGCCAGATTAGGGTTCAGGTGGACCATTTACTCCTCCTGCAGGAGCATCGCCAGATTAGGGTTCAGGTGGACCATTTACTCGTCCTGTAGGGGCATCGCCAGATTGGGGTTCAGGTGTACCATTTAATCCTCCAGCAGGGGCATCGCCAGATTAGGGTTCAGGTTCTGGCTGTACCGTACATCCGCTTGGGCCTACAGCAGGACCCTATATCTAAATGTGACCAATGCATG